CTTATTTGGTCGCCATTTCATTGTAAAGTATTAAAAGTAAAGTATTAAATTAATAAAACCACAACTCACTAACGTTCCTGTAGTAATAGTAAGTACTAATTATTTAATTGATATTATAAAATAGGAAATAAAGCCAACAATTATAAGGGGATATTTTAGTGGGAATCCAACCAAGTACCTTAGTCCGTGGCGGGGGGTATTAATATACTCATAATTATCGTTATATATACCGTCGTAATATCTATTATTTCCTTATATCCTGTCTGAAATTCTTTCTTAGCTCATAAGAGCTAAACACATTATTTATGGCGATTTATATATGCCTTGGCGATACGAAATGAGTTTTTAAACAAAGGAAAACATTTTTATCAAACCCAAAATACTATATCGGCAATATCTATGGTTCAAGTTTTACATATTCATTTACGTAAATGACATAGTAATTTAATAACAACAAGCTTTAAATTTTTTATCCTAACAAAAACATTAATGTAAAAAATGTTTCAATAAATTACTCTTATAAATTCTTTTAAATTAGGTCTTCAATTTACATTAAGAAACAAGCATATATTTTTAAAAAACATAGTTTGTCCATTAAATCACTTTAAACCTATATAGGTTTAAAGTTGCGAATAGATAAAAATGTTGTGAATTGTAAATAGGGGAAAAAGTAAAACGACTGATCGGTGTAAAGCGCTGAATACGAAATGACGGCTCTGACAACTAAGTAACGTTGATGTGAACTGAATAAATATTGGAGTAAGATCACAGGCATTTTTAAAACACTCTCATGAACAAACGCTTCTTAAATTGAAGCTTAATGCATCTATCTTCAATATGTTATTTTAATTATTTTATTATATTAACATAATCCCACACTACGTTTATTATCATATTGGTAAACGATACGGTCCGTACATAAATTATTATCAATATTTTTTACGTTTTACTACCAAAGTAAATTTGGAGTTTAGAATAATCGCAGTGAGGAAAAAATTATAACGAACTTACGTAGTAAAGTTTGTAATTAAAACAAAAAAAAAATTATTTTATTCCAAAATAAATAATATTTTGGATTAAGAAAAAGGTTTGACCTGATTCTTGAACAACTCAAATTTAATATTTAGACATAGCTGTTTGTGCATTTTGATTGTTTGTACATTAGAAAGCATAAGGAATTATCTTTTCATTGATACAACCGAGGCTACGAATATGTTAGGGTCACTTGCCTCAACTGAGAGAACGTGCCTTACCCGTTTAACCGGCCATTAACATTACAAGGTAATTATTGTTTGTCCCAGAGTGATAGTTTTCCCCATCTTTATGGCTACGTTCATTTAACCTTATCCCATGTATGGGAAGTTCCTAATGCATAGGCCTAATATTAATTTGAGAAAAATGTAAATACATCTATCTATATTTATAAAAGAGGAAGTTTGTATATTTATATATATATTTGAACGTTATGGACTCCGGAACCACTCGACTGATTTGTAATAAAACTTTCAGGCATTATTAAACATTATTCAAGGATGGTTTGTGTGAAGTTTGGTGCATATCCGTCAAAAGGGCTCCGCCCCTGGGGCTCTGGAGCTTCCCATGTTAACCTTATGAGTACTCATATTTAAATGGAATTAAAGAATCTTAACAGCTGTTTCAACTAAACAATTTGATTCTGTGATGATCAGTAGCATTAAAAGGTTACAAAATGTACCAACAGCGTGCAGCACTATTAATTGTCTAAATTTATGACATCAGTTGCTAATTTCAACCAAGCAACTTTGATACAGAAATTAGAACCGTCAAAGTAGGATTGTTTACAGTTATGTTTATGTTTTTACCTAACCAGCCATGTTAAGCTTCCTTATCCCAAGAGTGATGTATACAACCTCCTTACTTCTCGAGTGATGTAACGTATCACAAACTCACTCAGTGATGTAAAGAAACCCATTTAAATAACATTGAGTGCTTAACGTAAAAAATATACCTCTATGGAGCCAACGACGTTCAACGCTAGACGCTTGAATGTTATTGTTATGCTTTAAAGTATTTTCCTAACCTAGCTTTTGTTTGTAAAATAACGTTACTGTTAGAAGATGAGTGAAATGGATAAAGAAAAATATCGTACGTAACCTCATGTATATGGTCGGGTGAGGTAAAATCTTGTACGTTACACGTTACGCAAGAGCGTGTTTACATCACTTAGGTGAATTATGCAACTCGCTTCCGCTCGATACACAACATTCACCTGTGTGATGTAAAAACACTCTTACTACACTTGTAATGTAAATAGCTATTAATTTAATAAATAATTTTGAATGGTGTATGAATAAGGAGTTTTATTTGTTAGGTGTATAATTCATAAATTATTGACTTTCTTTTTTCCAAAATTTTTACAAAAACCTATTGAATTTGTATGGGTTATTTCCTAAAAGTTATTGTCTGGGAAACAAAAGTAGCCAGTTAATATTTTAAGTTAATACTTTTAGTGGATTACTAAAAGTTTATCTACATACAGCAGATCTATGGAATGATAATTATTCGTTTAAGCGTTCTCTTCCCGTTGCGAAGCACGGGTATAATGACCAGTATTATGTAAAAAATATTAGGGGAAACTGAATTTTTTCGAATAAAGAAAAGTATGAATAGTGGTAAATAAAGATGACGTAGATCAACACTAACAAGTTTTATGAGTACTTTGAAAGCTATTAAAATATACTTAAATGTGTTAAAGTAGAAATTAAATGCAGACAACAAATTATAATAGGGCTTATTATTTTTATAATTTGGCTAGTTTTTTTTTTTTATAAAACCAAATCTATTGACTAGTAATCAACAATGACGCACCCGAAACACAAGATATTAGCGGTAAATAAATAAAACATTTTAAGAAAGAAAAACAGAAAACAACACGAATGTCTACTTTTAAAGTAAAAAAATATATACTATGAGTGTTTTAAAATGACTCTATTGTTGGTAATCAAATTAAATTAAATGTTTATTGGAACATTTTAATTAGATTAGAATATGGAGTGTACATTTGTTAACTTGTTAGTACCTATCAACCAAACCTTTCAAGTGTAATTACTACTCACGGCTATAAGAGTCTTTCTATTAAAATCTCACGAGTATTTTTGTCGCTGTGTTCTACTTTTTAACAAGTTGTGAAGTAACCTCACATACTACAGATGAAAACTGTCGAGTAATCAAGGTTCAGGCCACGTAGACAGACCAGTCCCACCTACGATGTTCATTCAACAGGTGATTAAACAGGAAAGGATTACGTCGATAGACACGTGGACAACATTTATAGAATTCTGAACGAGATAGATTATTTTACACATCATTGAAATATTAAGAAATAATGAATAATGTTGTCAACCACGCATACTACTAACTTTTGATCTACAAGGTAAGGTTATGACAATGTTAAAATTATGGCATATACATACATAATGTATGGCATTATGGAATTTTAACTATACAATAAATTTATATACAAATTGGGGTTTAATAGTTTTCAAAAACAATATTAACGTTTATTTGTAATATGTCGTTTGGTAAGTGATTGCTAAACATACATTTTTTATAATATTTTATGGTAGGCCTAGTAACTTGGGATTTTTTAAGCCTTGATTTCTTAATGTTTATTAGGTTTGTTACTCTTATAGTATTTAAATTCCTATCTTTAGTATCATTTTATATAGTTTTAATTATTTTGTGCCATCGGATGTATGGTGTAAAACAGAAAGAAAATAAACGGTATCACCAATATGACACATACTTTCTCCCATTAGCTTGTTAACAACCTTTATCACGGGTAAGCGGTGGCAGTAACTATGATATTTTTAGGAGAAATCACAAAAGTAGCAATAACTTTTGAGTCATAATTTTTACGGCAATAAGAGTACCTACAGAAATATTACTGAAAATTTTTTATAAAAAAAAATGTCTGGATATACCACAGATTAGTACCTACATACCCAATGTCATCAAAAGCAGACCACAGGTATGGTCTGTGGCTCTGTACACATTCACACATACAGACAGACACACTCATAAACAAACATCACTTTAAAACCAGTGGGACCCAAAGCGGATATACTCGTATACACTCAAAACTCAAACTCCAAAATTTTGAGAAAATAATACTTTCTTCATATCTGTTTTGAGGGAGAATATAACAATTAATAAACATTGAACTGTAAGTTTTATCTAATGTAAAGATTTAGTTTACTCTTAAATAGTACTAGAAATACTAATAATGCCTGGACTGAATGATATTAAATAAAGAGACTGTATAAGTGAAACTCAAGGTAAATGACAAATTATCTATATTAAAAGTAATTTGGTAAAAAAAATCTTATATAAGTGACTACTATTAAACAATTTTAGTATACATTAAATATAGCAATAGAGTATGTATCGATATCAAGTAGAGTCGAACGAAGTAGAGTAGAAGTCCAGGAAAAAAATATTAAAATATTATTTTCGATGAATAAAACATATTAATGCTCTTACAAACACGTTTATTTTCAAAGATGCAAGATGATTTATTCATTCAAAAGATTATTTTTACTTTACAGTAGAATCAAAGTATTAATAATAACTACTAATGCTTCAACAAAAATGGAAGTTTTTTTACAAAGAACGTAAGAAGATTTATTCATTCAAAAGAATATTTTTACTTTTCAATAAAACCACAGTACTAAAAAGAACTAGCTGAAGGAATACTGGGCTTACTGGGAAGTATTTAAGGAGAAACAGTTGATATTTTTATTGTTTCATGACTTTTTCTACAACAAGCTTCCTGGGAATTCATTTTTCACTAAGACGCATAAATTATATTTTTTAATAAGAATATATCTGACACGACATCTACCTAAATCACTGGGGCATGGGATAATACACTGAGCTCTAAAAAATGAATAGTCTAGAAAACCTGATAAACTGAGGTTTTACTTAATAATAATTAGAATTTTTTTGTTGTTTGAAAACCTTTAGTGATTAGTAGGATTGGAACCTACGACTCTGAGGCCGTATCTAGGAGCTGGAATATCTGCGCCCCTAACGTGAGGGCCGTATCTAGCAACTGGAATATCTGCGCCCCTCACCTGAGGGCCGTATCTAGCAAATGGAATATCTGCGCCCCTCACGTGAGGGTCATATCTAGCAAATGGAATATCTGAGGCCCTCACCTGAGAGCCATATCTAGCAACTGGAATATCTGCGCCCCTGACCTGAGGGCCGTATCTAGCAAATGGAATATCTGCGCCCCTCACGTGAGGGTCATATCTAGCAAATGGAATATCTGAGGCCCTCACCTGAGAGCCATATCTAGCAACTGGAATATCTGGGGCCCTCACCTGAGGGCCATATCTAGCAACTGGAATATCTGGGGCCCTCGCGTGAAGGTCATATCTAGCAACTGGAATATCTGGGGCCCTAACCTGAGGGTCATATCTAGCAACTGGAATATCTAAGGCCCTCACCTGAGGGCCATATCTAGCAACTGGAATATCTGGGGCCCTCGCGTGAAGGTCATATCTAGCAACTGGAATATCTGAGGCCCTCACCTGAGGGCCGTATCTAGCAACTGGAATATCTGAGGCCCTCACCTGAGGACCGTATCTGGCAGCTGGAATATCTGCGCCCCTTACCTGAGGTCCGAATCTAGCAACTGGAATATCTTTGCCCCTCACCAGGGCCGAATATAGCAACTGGAATATCTGCACCCCTCACCTGAGGGCCGTATCTAGCAGCTGAAATATCTGCACCCCTCACCTGAGGGCCGTATCTAGCAACTGGAATATCTGCGCCCCTCACCTGAGGGCCGTATCTAGCAACTGGAATATCTGCACCCCTCACCTGAGGGCCGTATCTAGCAACTGGAATATCTGCACTCCTCACCTGAGGACCGTATCTAGTAACTGTAATATCTTCACTCTTACCTGAAATTTCAATAAAAAATTTTAAATTTTTTATGTCACTTAGTTTTTGCGTGCATTTACAATACATTCTATATCATTGACAGACTGACAAAGGAAATGGAAAGATAAATCGATAACAGTGTCATTCGTCAGTCGCTAAAACTGGAGCTCTACACAGGCTTAATAACTGCACTTGTCTACGTTTTATGTTTGTGGCACGACATATTTAAATTGTTTTCTATCCCTCAATTGAACTTTACCACGAATTTCCGATATTACATTCCTAACAATAAATGTTCATGTATAGTGGTATTTTTATATAAAACGAATTGCTGCTATTATTACTATACAATATTATTTTTTATACTATACATACCATACATACTATACATTTAGAGTTTTAGTTATTTTATCTTTAATGCCAGAACCAACTTAATTGTTTTGTTTTTCTTTTAACAATTGCCCATAACTTTGTATTTTTAATGGCAATAAGCTAATTATTTTATTTCATTATTCATTTTATTTTAGATATGTTCGCCTTATTTTAGGGTGAAAAACTCGCCAAGTAGATTCTTTTATAATAGTGAACAGGTTTGTTTAAACTTAATTTATAACAAATAAATTACTCATCGCAGACCAATTTTCATATTGAGGCAGGGTAGTAAGTCTCTCATTGCATTTGACTGTTTTCATTGTAGAATGTATCTAGCAAAGCAAAGATCCAGGTGGTGCAGTACAAAAGCGAACTGTACTGACATCATTTTAGTGGCGGTAACCAGGATGGGAACCCAGGTATGGCCGTCATTGATTCAGTAGTCCGGAAACTACCTTACCCACTCACTGGCTAAGCAAATATATAGAGACCGAAAGAATGAATAGTCCAGAAAGCTGACAGTTCGATCAATAAAATACTGTTTTACTTAATAATACTTAAAAATCATCAAATTGGTCATAATGTATACGCAGTTGTAGAATCGTTTTGTTTAATTAAGTAGATGTTTCTAATTTTAAACTTGGAAGTCTGAATAATCACTATGGCTTTTGACTTAGGAATCAAGTCGTGAACTGGTTGTTTCGAGCCGATCTTAAGCTGTTTGTCAATCTAGATGGGGTTTTCTATAAACCGGATTTTCTCTCAAACAAGATAATCCGCATTCATCCACTTGAAACCGAGTGGTAATGGACATCATAGAGTTTGGAAAATAAATACTTGAACTACATAAGCAGGCCTTAATATAACCAATGAAGGGTCAAATACTCATTACGAATTTTGGCTTAAGGATGTAAGGCGATAGAAACTAGAATTAGTTTGCGAACCGGCATGATCGGGCCATGGGAAAAAGGTTTTCATTTGATAAAAATTTAGTTTTCTCTCTTTTTACCTCTAAAACATAAAATGTTTCTATTTCTTTTTAAACAATTTCAAAGAGCCTAAAAACAAATAACATAGTCATTTGAAGTTCTTTTAAGGTTACGGAGGAGATAAAAAAAGTTAAAATTCCCCTGATATTCTTATGGGGAATAAGTAAACTGTGTAGTTTACTTGTTTATGGATATATTCCGATCAAACTTGTCAATTTTATTTATTATATACTAAGCTATTGATATTTTACTAAAACACCCCATACTGTCCTCCCTGTAGCAGCAAATCTCGGTATATGTTAAACCTAGGATTATTTAAATAGATTTCATTGAAAATTCAATCAGGCTAATGGAAATTCGCTTAGTCTGTAGGTTTGCTGCAGCGGGGATTTTCTTTTTTTATATTGATAACGTTTCGGCACTGACTGCATGTATGAAGGTTTTATTTTATTTAATTAGATATACTGGGTGAGTTGCTAGTCTAGTGGTTAGCGTACCAGACTTCGGTGAGGGAGGTACGGGTTCAGTTCTTGGAACATCCACAAAACTGTGTGATTTTACGTTTCTGTAAAACTATCATAATACCTCCATTTTAATCATTTAAAGAAAGTTAAAATTCCACTATTATTTTATGAAAACCCTGTATATCATATTTTGGCATATACTGCGTTAGTTGTAGCTAGATATGTGTTTAAGTTTGTATGCATTATGTGCGAGTTACATAAACATAGCTTAGTATAAAGTTTTATATCACCCTTATAAAATATTGATTTAAAGAGAACAGACATATTCCAAATATTAATTTATTATATGAAATATTATTTTCATATATATATTAATATTTTGTTAGTATATACACCGATGAGGCTACTTTAAATGTTATCAAGTAAATTAAAATACCAAAGTACCCTGAAAACGTTTTATTTTATATCACTTAAGTGTTTCGGCCATTCATTCCATGATGACAGTGACAGTACCAAACCTATTAATTGATATCATTTACAAACATTAGATATTTCTTGTTTCAATAACAGGTGATATTTTTATTTCAAGGGAGTCCGTGGTGTTTTTCTTTAATATAAATAATAACTTTTAATGCTTTTGCATATCATAGAACCAACTTTATTAGTTGAAACAGCTGACTAAATTCTTTTATTTCCTTTAAATATGAAAACTCAAAAGGTTAACATGGGGAACTACAGAGCCACTGGGATAGAGCCCGAAAGGATTTTTGGGATAAGAATATGCCTAGATGTTAATCGGGATTATGAGATATCATCATGTCAAATTTCAGCTAAATCCGTCCAGTAATTTATGCGTGATTGAGCAACACACACACACAAAAACGCACAAACTTTCAGACTTATAATATTAGTAAGATAAGATTTCATTGAATTTGACATTTTGTTTTTGAGTTTGTGTCCAAGTTTAGTAAATTGTATTTGTCAGTAGTATGGTGTGTATAAATATAGTCTTCTTTTGCATTAATTTTTTTCACCTTCTTCAACTTCTAGAATGTGCATATTTTTTATTTTTATCTAAGTATGTATGGCGGTCTGATGTATGTTCGGCGTATAAGGATTTTTGCGTTTTCACGTTATTTGATCTTATTCCCTGTATATGTTCTTTGTAACTATATTATAATTGGACATATTTCAATTTTTTTTAAATATGTTTTCATCTATATATATAAAAGTCAAAGCCCTCACTGACTGACTGACTCACTCATCAATAATTCTCCCACTTCCCACTTACCTAGGAGGCTGAAATTTGGTACACTGATTCTTTAGGCATTAAATAGGAAAACTGAGTGGTTTTTATTCTAATCGGACTCTCGGGCTCCGCCCCAGTGGCTCTGGAGTTTCCCATGTTAACCTAACGAGTACTCATATTTAAATGGAATTAATGAATCATAACAGCTGTTTCAATTAAACAAGTTGGTTCTGTTCTGCGATGTTCAATAGCATTAAAGTTACTAGGATTACCAACAGAGTGAAGCACTATTATTTTTTAAATTTATGACAACAGCTAATTTGCAACCAAAAGGTGAGTGAGCGTAGCGAACGAACTTCAACCCGGATGCGAGTTAGCATAGCGAACGAGCTAACCTGAAGGCAAGTGAGCGCAGCGAACGAGCTCCAACCGTAAAGGTGAGTGAGCGTAGCGAATGAACTTCAACCAGGACGTGTGATTGCAGCGAACGAGCTCCAACCTAAAGGTGAGTGAGCGTAGCGAACGAACTTCAACCAGGACGTGATTGAGCCATGCGAACGAGCTCACATATGAAGTTAAACGGGGCAAAGCCCGCGGGTACAGCTAGTACTATTAATATACAGACTGTCCCAAAAGTCCCGGACCGGTTTAATATTTTCTAAACGACAACAGATAAATCAATAATATTTGGTACATCAACACTGCACCAAAAAATCTACTTTTTTAAGGAACTAAAAAATTTCTGTCATATCACAGGGACGTCCCACAAGGAGTCAATTTGCGCATCAGTTTAAAGGGCTTAGCTAGTAGAGTTCAATGCCGGAAACTGCGCCTTAAAAGGATCGTCCGTTACAAAATGGCAGTCGTTCAAAGATTCAAAATGGCAGATTCAAGAAATCTTTGAACGACTGCCATTTTTTACTCAGGCGTCCTTTTGAGCTTGAATTTACGGTTTTGTAATCTACTAGTGAAGACCTTTAATTTGATGTGCATATCGACCTATGCTTACGTTAAAAATTTTCTTTCGATTCCTAGGGCTGTGTCCCCTGAGGAGCAGCATTGCAAATTAAATTAATCTTCGAACCACTGTCATTATTGGCTCGGTTGTCCGTTTGAGTTCAAATTTGCGGCATTATATTCTGCTAGTAAAGACCTTTGATTTGATGTACATGTCAACCTATGCTTCTGTTTAAGATTTTCTTCCGACTCCTTGCGGGACGTCCCCATGATATGACAGAAAACTGATATTTCCTTAAAAAAGTAGATTTTTAGGTGTGGTGTTGATGTACCAAATCTCTGATTTATCTGTCGTAGTTTGTGTAAAAATAATTAAAATTGTTTACTTTTTTATTTTTAGTTCGTGAATAAAACGCAGACGTTAATAGCGATTAGTGGGTGGCATTGGAATACGAAGGCTAAAGAGAAGTATAGTTCTTAAATTGTATATTTAATTAATTTATTAAATTATAAATAAGAATGGTGCACATATAATAAACATTGTAGCGTTAATCAGTAGAAATAATCAGCACATATACGTTAGCTAATTTTAATCAATTTGATTGTTAAACTGATTTAGACACTGTTATGAACATATGAATCAGTTGTTACCATAGCAACCAAAATGTTAATCATCAAATGCTGTTTACTATTCTATTCTGATCTTTAATATAACACAGTTACTTCTATTTCAACACTCTGTCTTTTTATATTCTAATATTTCCACTCGAAAGTCATCTCAGTTGGCGACGATCTGGTAAAAAAACTATTATCAATTCTTGTTTCATTCTATTATTTTCAAGATATTTTATTTTGTTAAACATTTCAACTTAAAATGAATGAAGAACAATTTGAAAGACTCATGAATGTTTTGGCTGCAGCTCTAGGTAATAAAACTTCAACTCCTCAGATCAATCCTTTTGAACATTTTGATGCAAATAATGATAAATTCAAATCATATTTGGAACGTTTTGAGAATTATTGCAATTTGAAGAACATTAAAGAAGACAAGATGAAAGCTCAACTCCTGTGCTCATCCATTGGTAAGGAACATTACAATAATCTGACAACTCTTTTAGGCCCAGACAATCCTGTAAAAGACCTTAATTTTCCAAAATTAATCGAACATTTCACAGTGATGTTGTCACCTACAGTATCTCATATTGTTGCACAACACTATTTCCTCAGTGTTTCACAACAGTTGCATCAATCTATCTCTGATTTTGTCACAGTAGTGAAAGGTAACCTGAATGATTGTAATTTTTACACTTCTTGCAATGAATGTGAAAGTAAAATTTCAATTGCTGACGAA